CCCCAAAACCCCAAAACCCCAAAACCCCAAAACCCCAGATTTAGTAACTAAAGTTGAATTAAAAACATATCTGTTTTATAGAATTATAAAAATGAAGAGGGTTATCTCTATCTTATTCTTAGCAGTCATAATAGGGGGTTCCCTAGCGATACAGGAGGGAACGATTGATGATGTGGATAAGGTCATTTTTTACGCTCTACCTCATTCCCACACTGACGCAGGGTGGTATTGGACGTATAACTACTACTATAATCTTGCCAAGAATATCCTGAATTCCGTCACAGATTATTTATCGACTCATGAGCACGCAAGATTTACTTGGAGTGATCACTCCTTCTTCAGAAAATGGTTCAATGAGGAAGTTAAAGGCAAAGGCGAGAAAGAGGGCAAAGTTCGAGAACTTATTAAAAATGGCCACCTTGACTTGATCAATGGTGGTCTTGTCCAGAATGACGAAGCCTCTTCCCATATGAAAGAGACATACACTAATTTTGAAGAGGGTTTAAAGTTCTTATTCGAAGAATTTGGGATTAGGCCTGATGCTTACTGGCAGCTAGACCCCTTCGGTTTCAGCTCTATCTCACCTGAGGTTTACAAATCACTTGGAATTAATAAAGTGATAATAAATAGAATGTCCGAGGCTTACAAAGATGTGCTCAGAAAGAACCAAGATCTTGATTTTATCTGGCAAGGAGATGGTGAAGAAGAAATATGGACCCATACACTCCACGGTCATTATGGAATGGAGCTAGATTTCTACTATGATAAGAGATGGTATACCGACAAAAAGTGCCCAAATCCGCTAGATGAACCCTGTGTTAAGAAACTTGTGGAAGAATGCATCCATCAAGGCTTGAAAGTTCATAACAGAACTGGATATGTCATGCAGCTATTGGGCAATGACTTTTTCTTCTCCGATGCTTACTATTCTTTTGATTATATAGATGGGATGAAATCTTCACTTGAAAAATATGGGTCTAAATACCTAAGCGGGAAACCTGTAGAGTTCAGATATGTAACCCTCTCTGAATATCTCAGAGATATGGAGAAACTCAAATATGAAATTGGAAGGTACAGAGGAGATTTCTTTGTTTACTGCCAATATAATCCCTCTGACTTCTATGATCAACACTGGGGAGGATACTTCTTTTCAAGACCAATGTTTAAATGGATGGTAAGAGATTCATTGTCTTCAGAAAGATTGCTTCACTCAATGATCGCAACAATGAACTTCGTTGCTCTGACTAAGGAAACTAATCTTAAAAATGGTGAGCTTAAGAACACTTTCCATACTTTAATGAAAGCGAGGGAGTACAACCCAGTCATGCTGCATCACGACGCCATCACTGGAACTCATGGCCAAGCGGTAAACATTGACTATAAAAGGATTCTTCAAAACATCCACAACAATATGGATACTGCTACAACTAAGCTTTTACACAATGTGCAAACATTGGAAAATTTAGGAAAGAAGCAGCTGGAAATAGTGATGTATAACCCATCTTTCTACACAAGAAACGAAATTATAAATATCACATTACCATCAGAACATTGGTCTTTTATCGAAGCTTTACACCCTGATGCTGAAATTATGGACAGTTACAAGCTTAACAAAGAATTCTTCTCCCAAGACAAGACTGAATTTATCTTGTGGATGAAAGTATCAATAAAGCCATTTGCATATGAGAAAGTCACCATTGAAAAGCATGATGACCATGAAAGATGCCAAAGTGGCGGAAAATGTATTGAAAGAGTACAGATTCAGCATCTTGGAATTCCTTCAACAGATCTTACAGTTTCGAATACTCTTACTGAGGCAAAACTTGGCCTTAATTCGTTAGAAATCAAGCAAATCACTGATAGGGAGAGTGGTCAAGTTCTTGAAGTCAATGAAGCTCTATATAAATATGATGGAAAGGATACAAAATCTTGTATTTACCTCTTTAAGCCCACTTCAGCTGCTGTAAAGATTCATCTCAGAGATCAGAAATTCTTGAAATATACAGGCAAGCTCATTAAAGGATATCAAGTGTATGGTCATGGAAATGATATTCATTTTGACAAGACCATTCTTTTGAAAAAGGATGATCCAGCTCTTCATATAGTTTCAAGAAATTTCATTAAAAACCAGCATGACAAAGAAATAGCCATTAGATATAATGGCTACGATGCAAACGAATTCTATTCAGGAAACTCTATGTCTTTTGTCAACAGAAAATTCATCGATTTGGAGACAGCAAAAAATAGAAATCTCACTAGGCAGGAGTGCAGCTCAGATGTCGATATTTTAGGCCTCAATACCTACCCATTGGTTGATGGGTTTGTTTCCAAGAAAGGAGGATACATTGGCTTTACTCCTTCCCACTCTTCAGCAGTCAATCTATTAAGCGACTCTAAGTTTGAGTTCCTTATCGCTCGCTCTGTAATGAACATCAACGAGGATAAAGGACTTCCAGAAAGGCTTGATGAAAGAATGATGACTCATTTCAATTACAAAGTATTCATCAAAAATGACCTAGATAGCATCCACAGACAGTCCCATACCTATGGAGGTAAGATGGCTTCTAATCTTTAGACCAAATGGTTGACCCTATTCTGATTATTACTAATCAAAATAAGGTTTCAGATATACCAAATATCACCTTCGAGCAGATTGATAACATTGGAATTGATGTGATTTCTCTGAGAATGTTTGATGAATCTGCTCCAATCCATAGTCCTGGGATGATAAGGATTAGAAATAGGTCCCCCAAACCAATCAGACTTGGTCCAATCTTATTCTCATTTGAAACGAATCATAGTGATAAAGGACACCTTGCTATTTTGTCAAGCACTAAGTTTGGATATTCAAGTGCTGAGACTCTCAAAAATTTAAACTATAAGCAAAAAGTATCTGAAGATTATAATGTGAGAGACGACTACAATGTTCTGAAAAATTACAGAGATGATTACGTCACCATTGAAACCCAACTACAAGAAATACACAAAGGTGACACTCTCGTTGGTCTGGCCCAACACGACATAGTCCTTCAACCCACTGAAATATCCCATCTTCTAATCTATCACGCTGAATACAACAAGAATGAGGATAAGTACAATACTGTTGACCAACATCTCCAGAAAATAGCCTCTGTAGAAGAAATTAGAGAAAACGCATATCAAAATGGTAAAAAGAGCCATCAAGGATAGGCAATGTTCTTAATCAATATTATGGTCAACAAAAGGGGTTTTGGGGTTTTGGGGTTTTGGGGTTTTGGGG